CCCGGCCAAAAGATATTATCGTCAATAGGCGCTAAGGTAGTTAGCGTCTATGAATTGTGTAAAAGTGAGCTATAAAGGCCTTAGACAGTGGAGGACACATCTAATTTCAGCATTGTAGATTGTCTCTCTTTGCCATTCATTTGTGATTGAGGCATATCCCAATAACAGGAGCTACACAACAGGTCCAACAACTCCTGACAAACTTTGATTTTCGAGTGATCTATCACTTTAAATGTATGCAATTATGAGATGAGTTGACTTGCTCTGGCTTGTGCTGATAAGTCCACACAGCCCACCCTGTGCTAGTCATGTGGGTTCTAAATATCAGCTTGCACAGTTTTCTCAACAATGTTAACTTTGTCTTGGAAATTTTGAAAATGAGAGGATTTTGTTTACTTTTCAGCAATAGGCCTTTCTGTATTGTTGTCTTTTAGATACAGAGAAAAAATGTCACTGGCCTACACACAATACCCCATAATGTCAAAGTGGAATTATGGTTGTAGAAAATATTACAAATTAATACAAAATTAAAAGCTACTGACCAATACTGCAAAAGAAATTGGCAAATCAATTGTGTGTAGGCCAGTGACAAAATAATCTGTTATGTTTGGGGCAAATGCAACACATTACATTTACATTTTTACATTTTAGTCATTTAGCAGACGCTCTTATCCAGAGCGACTTACAGTTAGTGAGTGCATACATTTTTCATACTGGCTAAGTACCACTCTCCATATTTTCAAGCATAGTCGTGGCTGCATCATGTTATGGGTATGCTTGTAATAGTTAAGGACTAGGGAGTTTTCAGGATAAAAAAGAAACGGAATGGAGCTAAGCACAGGCAAAATCCTAAAGGAAAACCTTGTTCAGTCTGCTTTCCACCAGACACTGGGAGACAAATTCACCTTTCAGCAGGACAATAACCTGAAACACAAGGACAAATCTACACTGGAGTTGCTTACCAAGAAGATGGTGAATGTTCCTGAGTGGCCGAATTACAGTTTAGACTTATCTGCTTAAATCTATGGCAAGACTTAAATGGTTGTCTAGCAATGATCGACAACCAATTTGACAGAGCTTGAAAGTCTTGAAAATAATAAAGGGCAAATGTTGTACAATCAAGGTGTGCAAATCTCTTAGACTTATCCAGAAAGACTCACAGCTGTAATCGCTGCCTAAGGTGATTCTAACATGTATTGACTCAGGGGTGTGAATACCTATGTAAATTAGACATTTATGTATTTCATTTTCAATACATTTGCAAAAATTTCTAACGCATTTTCACTTTGTCATTATGGGCTATTGCGTGTAGATGGGTGAGAAACATATATTTAATCAATTTTGAATTCAGGCTGTAACATAACAAAATGTGGAATAAGTCAAGGGGTATGAATACTTTCTGAAGGCACTAGGTATTTCGTACAACAGTAATAATATCAGCAAGATCTTCATAATCTTCACCCCTTAGATTGATTTGCAAGCTGGTACCCGTTGTTTCGTACTTTACATGAGAGTGCCTCAGGGAAATGGTGAGCATGAGAAAGGCAGATAAGCAATGCAAATAGAATGCATTCAGGGTGGGAAATTCACTTTTGGGTCCACCAGCCACTGTGGCAGGTAGATAAAAATAAAATAAATCTACCAGCCACAAAAATCACAAAAGGATGAACATGCTTTGTTTCAAAAACCAATAAATGTATTACTAGTAAGAAGTAATGGGGTATATTGCTTAGTTTCATTTTCTGTGACCTGTGTCTTAACCAATGTATGGTAAAATAAATAATTTACAGTGACTTTGGAAAATATTCAGACCCCTTGACTTTTTCCACAACATTTCTTGTGTTACAGCCTTATTCTAAAATTAAAGTTTTTTTCCTCATCATTCTACACACTACCCCATAATGACAAAGCAAAAACAGGTTTTTTAAATAAAAAATTGAAAAATCACATTTACATAAGTATTCAGACCCTTTACTCAGTACTTTGTTGAAGCACCTTTGGCAGCGATTACAGCATCAAGTCATCTTGGGTATGACGCTACATGCTTGGCACACCTGTATTTGGGGAGTTTCTTCCATTCTTCTCTGCAGATCCTCTCAAGCTCTGTCAGGTTGGATGGGGAGCGTCGCTGCACAGCTGTTTTCAGGTCTCCAGAGATGTTCAGTCGAGTACAAGTCCGGGCTCTGGCTGGGCCACTCAAGGACATTCAGAGACTTGTCCCGAAGCCACTCCTGCGTTGTCTTTGCTGTGTGCTTAGGGTCGTTGTCCTGTTGGAAGGTGAACCTTTGCCCCAGTCTGAGGTCCTGAGCGCTTTTCATCAAGGATTTCTCTGTACTTTTGCTCCGTTAATCTTTGCCTCTATCCTGACTAGTCTCCCAGTCCCTGCTGCTGAAAAACATCCCCACAGCATGATGCTGCCACCACCATACTTAACCATAGGGATGGTGCCAGGTTTCCTCCAGACATGACATTTGGCATTCAGGCCAAAGAGTTCAATCTTGGTTTCATGCCAGAGAATCTTGTTTCTCATGGTCTTGAGTCCTTTAGGTGCTTTTTGGCCAACTCTAAGCAGGCTGTCATGTGGCTTCCATCTGGCCACTCTACCATAAATGCCTGATTGGTGGAGTGCTGCAGAGATGGTTGTCCTTCTGGAAGGTTCTCCCATCTCCCCAGAGGAACTCTAGAGCTCTGTCAGAGTGACCATCGGGTTCTTGGTCACCTCCCTGACCAAGGCCCTTCTCCCCCGATTGCTCAGTTTGGCCGGGCGGCCAGCTCTAGGAAGAGTCTTGGTGGTTCCAAACTTATTCCATTTAAGAATGATGGAGGCCACTGTGTTCTTGGGGACCTTCAATGCTGCGGACATTTTATGGTACCCTTCCCCAGATCTGTGCCTGGACACAATCCTGTCTCGGAGCTCTACGGACAATTACTTCGACCTCATGGCTTGGTTTTTGCTCTGACATGCACTGTCACCTGTGGGACCTTTTTATATAGACAGGTGTGCCTTTCCAAATCATGTCCAATCAATTGAATTTACCACAGATGGACTCCAATCAAGTTGTAGAAACATCTCAAGGATGATCAATGGAAACGGGATGCACCTGAGCTCAATTTTGAGTCTCATGCAAATAATTATGTAAATAAGGTATTTCTGTTAAATTTTGTATACAATTTTGTATACAATTTTGTATACATTTGCAAACATTTTTAAAACCTGTTTTCGCTTTGTCATTATGGGTTGTTGTGTGTAGATTGAGGGGAAATAATTAATGTAATCAATTTTAGAATAAGGCTGTAACAAAATGTGGGAAAAGTAAAGGGGTCTGAATACATTCCGAATGCACATTCTAGTCGCCAATGACAAAATCTACCTGCATTTGGCGGGTGTTAATTTCCAATCCTGAATGCAGTGTTTCCCATATAGATGGGTTGGTTGTTTAACAACAAAACCGATGCGTGCACAACCATGGGCCATAACAGACTGTGTTGGCTTAGATTGACAACTAGTAAGCTATATTTATTCTCCAATGTATATTGAAAACATAAATACATTTGCATAATGAGCACTTGTCTCTCAAATACATCGTTACAGTTGTTGGTTAGCTAGCTAGCGAATTTTTGCCATATTAGCATTGACTTGAAATGAGTCAAAACTCCTCAAAACAAGACATGGTATCAAGAACAATATGAAACGAGACACCTTACAATTCCCCACATGGCAGTTTCTTGTCATTCTTGCCTGCAATCTGGCCATACAGAATCACAGCAAAACGCTGACTTCTGCCCCATTGACACACACACAATGTTTTCATGACGTTGTCAGCCAACCCACCTATATTCATCTAGCAGCTGCAGGCAGCAACTGCAAAAAATATGATTTTTGAAAATAATTTGTGATAAATCGTTTTCAGTGTGAACTTAAACATCTAAAACCAGATATAAAATATGTCAAAGATAATGGACCTATATGTTTTTATTAGATGAGAGCACTAAAAAGCATGGCATGGGGCCCCCATTGATTTTATGTTTGAGTCGCTAAAATAGCATAAAAATACGGCATAAGGCATGGCCAAATTTGTAGAATTGCAGGAAATTGACGTTAAACCTGTATATTTTCCTCTCGGGCCCCATGGCAAAATGTGTAGAAAGGAGTGGTGAGGAGGCGACTTCACCATACATTTTCTTGATTTAGGGTTCACTAAAACATCATTTTAAGCTTTGTTTTACTATTGACCGTTACAGCTGATTTCAGTATTGTATATTGATTCACTCTCTTTAAATAGAAGTAATCTGATTTTGATTTGTTTGTCTGAATTGTTCAGTCAACCTTTTCGCTGCCAGCTCCTGATATCCAGGCATAAAAACTTCAATCTGTCTCCTGAATAAGTTTTCGTCCTCATTGCCAAATCTCCTTTGCTAGTTATACAATCATGTAACTAAGAAATTAGCTGGAAAGAAAATAATGTATTGTTATGTTGAATAGTCATGACTGGTTTGAGATCTGTCGTAAGACGCGGATCCAAGTTCAGTTGAGAGATCCACCAGCGTCTTTGGCGTAAGGTTAGCTGGACGTTTCTGACTGGTCTTGGAACTGTGGCAACGGACAGCCTCTCCCCGCTTGGCTTGATGGGATATGTAGTGATTTTTGCCAACACAGCCAGATATGTACAGTCTTGTTTCCTTAAACTTTTTTAAACTGACTATCGTATTTGTTGAGGTAAATCGGACGTTTATTAATATAATGCGTAATCGAGGAATGTCAGGAGTTAATTGACACGAGAAAACTAGAGAATAGTAACTCTACAGAGCGCAATGACTACAATGAATGGCTAAATTACTTTCGGACATGAAGGGTCCGCAGAGTTCCTCACCACTCTATTGCAGGAAACTGGCTTTAAAACACGCAAACTGTGCCAGCATTGCTGAAAAAAATCCTAGAGGAAACACTGGAATCCTGCTAGAATGATAACTCTCCATATTGTCCCCTTTCATTCTCCCCAGATGGTAAGAATAATGGAAGCTCTAAGCGCTACAGCCGTAAGCGAGAGCCCTCCCTTCCCAAGAGTGAAAGTTTCCCTGGCCCTCGTCGCACCTATTCACAGAAAAGCAAGAATTTTGACAAGAGACCCACCCAGAGAGGTGAAGCCCGGCAGTATGGCATTACAGGTGGAGGAAGACGCGAAGAGGTGAGCTTTCGCAATACTTTACTTTAAAATAAATCCTTGTTTGGATATGAAAAGAGAGCTTAGTTAAGTCCTATATTTGTATATTCCCACTGATTGTATTAATATCAATATAATAGCACTTATTGACAAATTAATGGTAGAATTATTTGAGTCACTGAACGGTAGAAACAAGGCAGCATCAACCCACATACATCTAACTGGAATATTATTATTCCTACCTGTGATTCAGGAAAGTCAGGCTCTAATTTTCTTCTCCCTTCCCCCAGGTAGCAGAGTGCCGCCGGGCCGAGTTCAGCCCAGCTCAGTTTTCTGGACCCAAAAAGATCAGTCTGAACCACTTGCTCAACTTCACGTTTGAGCCTCGTGGGGGCCATGGTGGCCTAGTAGGAGAGAAACACTCATGCTGGGGCCGCCGCAACAAGTGGGGCCACAAGCATAAGCCCTTCAACAAGGAGCTTTTCCTGCAGGCCAAGTGAGCTCCCGATCAATTCAGTCTACTTTGTACAGTATGAATTGTTAGGTTGGTATTTATTAACTAATTGGTCTCCTTTTGCCTTAGCTGCCAGTTTGTGGTGACTGATGACCAGGACTACAATGCTCACCTCACTGACCCAGACACTCTGGTGAACTGGGACTGTGTGCAGCAAGTGGTAAGTTCCATTTACATTTACGTCATTTAGCAGACGCTCTTATCCAGAGCGACTTACAAATAGGTGCATTCCCCTTATAGCCAGTTCCATACACCAGCCCTCTCTTACGCTTGAAATCTCCATGTCTAATTAGACTTTTAATGCAAATATTATTTACCCCCTCCAGCGCATCTACAGTCATGAGGTTCCCTCCTGCCCCATCTGCCTCTACCCCCCTGTAGCGGCCCATATCACCCGCTGTGGCCACATCTTCTGCTGGCCATGCATGCTGCACTACCTGTCTCTCAGTGACAAGAGCTGGTCCAAGTGCCCCATCTGTTATGAGGCTGTACACTCTGACGACCTCAAAAGGTTAGAGAGAGAGAGCGATGTTAAACAGCCTTATTAGAACATTCTGTATCGCAACCTTTGGGAAATAAAATATTATGGTTGAAAATGGTTAGTAACATGCTCTATCCCCTCATACCTCACTGCAGTGTGGTTGCAATGGAGACCAGGCAGTATGCAGTTGGTGACCTCATCACCATGCGCCTAATGCGGAGGGAGAAGGGGGCTCTGGTGGCCATGCCCACCTCCCAGTGGGTGAAGGTGGAGGAGCCTATTTGCTTTGGAGGTGAGACATTTTCACGGTCTTAATATCCAGTGACTTACAGTTAGTGCATCCATCTTAAGGTATCTAGGTGAGACAACCACATCAGTCATAGTAAGTACATTTTCCCTCAATAAGGTAGCTATCAGCAAAGTCAGTGCTAGTAAAAAAAGACAAGTGTTAGTGCAAAGAAGGTTGGAGGATGATGATGACCAAATGTTTACCATATACCTGTGTTTGTGGTATGGTATATGTGAGTTTTTTTGACATGGCTGTACCCCTGTGTTGTAGATGTGCATCTGAGCCCGTACTCCAAGCTGCTGCTTGCCTCTCAGGAGCAGGTGCTGGGCCTGGTGGCTGAGGAGAAGGTCGTTTTGCAGGCTCAGCTCACCCAGGAGGAGGATGCCACAGCCTGCTTCATCCAGAGCGCCTTGTGCAATCTCCAGGTAACACTGACCAACTAGCAGCTTTTTAATTTAAAACACAGGCAGTGTCTACTGTATTGTTACTCAAACTTAGTTCAAGTCATATAGGCCTAGATGGCATGAACTAACCCCATCTCTTTCCTCTGCTGTGGTCCAGGAGCGAGAGGAGGCTCTGCTGAAGCACCAGAAGGCATGTACTAAGAACAACTTGAACCTGTCAAGTCTCACTCTGGCAGACCCCCCCTCCCCTGAGGAGGAAGTGGTGACCACCTTCAGTAGTACCAAAGTAAGTGTTGTCATTTATAACCCCTTTCTGTAACGTTACTCTCCAAACTCGCCCTTGTTATTGGGTCTGAGAGATTCTCCATGTTTTGCTATTTCCAGCCGGTGCTGCAGTACTCCTCTGCATTTGATGATGAGGTAGCAGAGGAGGACCCAGATGAGGCCCCTGGTAAGGAACCAGAGCTCCCTGAAGGGCTCCTGGAGAGCGTGCTGGAGGAGTCCACTGAGGCCTCTGGGGATGCAGCTCCAGAGACCCAGCCTGCAGAGGAGAACCCTCCCAGCCAGGCTGAAACAGTGCGCCCCCAAACCTCAGAGCATGGACCCTCCTACTACTTCTACCAAGGTAGGATACCCTTTAGTAAAATGTCTTTATCAGTGTCTCTCCACACAATACCTACCTTGTCATCTATATTGTAATCAAAAGTCCAGTCTCTGTACTTACTCCTTTCCTTCTCCCTTCAGCGGAGGACTGCCAGCAGATGTTTTTGCACCCAGTGAACGTGCGCTGTCTGCTGCGTGAGTACGGCAGCCTGGAGGCCAGCCCTCACGCCATCACTGCCACTGTGGTGGAGATCGAGGGGCAAACTATCACAGAGGTAAGTGATTTAGATCTGTAACATACTACTTAAATATGTTTATTCATGGTAATGTACCAAGACTTCTGTTTCTTCTGGCTCATTTCATTGTTTTGATTCTCTTGGCTAAAGGAGATTCGCCGTCGACACCGCTACCTGGCTCACCTGCCGCTCACCTGTGAGTTCGGCATCTGTGAGCTGGCCCTGCAGCCTCCCACCCTGTCCAAAGAGACCCTGGACAGCTTTGCAGGTTAGATATCCTAACACACACACACACATAATGTATTCATGGGTTGCTGCAGTACTACTCCTCAAATCCAAATCTTCTTTCTCCTTCTCTCGTCACTCTTATCTGACTCAGATGACTTGGAGAAAAGAAAGCGTCTTAGACAAAAGAAAGCAAGGGATGAGAAGCGCAGGGAGAGGCGTATCGAAATGGAGGAGAACAAGAAGCAGGGGAAATGTGAGTACATTTTACTTTTGGTTGTTTCTCAATGTATAATGTGTAACTAAAAACCTGTGGTCAGATGGGGTATCTTAAGTTGACAGTTTTCTCTCTCTCAGATCCAGAGGTACATATTGGGCTGGAGAATTTTCAGCAGTTCCCGGCGTTTGGGTCCCCACCTCACAATGGCAGTCCACCAGTGTACCCTGAATTTCTGTTGGCCCCTCCCTCATTCCTCAGCAGCAACCCTGTCTCTGGTGAGACCAGCTCTTTCAACTGTCCTTAATTTTGATACGTTTGGAAATGTTAGTGTTCCCGTCTTATCGACTCAAGATATTTTGTGACATGGAATTCATATTTTGGACAAAATATAGCACATTACAAACAGTGCCTTGGAAGTGTGAGCCTTGTAAACTGAAAACACAATTTCCCTCTTGTTGCAGATGGGCTGATGTTCCCCAGTCTGAGTGGACACAGCCCTGTGCACAGCGTGGGCAGTGTGGAGGATGACTCTCAATGCATGTCGTTCGCTCAGGTCTGTTAGCCTAACTCATTAATTTACTCACTCCTACATGTATTATTTTCATTACGGACTGATTACCTTGGATGTCGGGATGTATCACAACTTTTGGATATGGACAATATAGACCAGTAATAGACAATTTGTATGACATTCTCTCTCATCATCCCTTATTCTCCCCTGTATAGATGCTGAGAGATGGGAAAGCCAGGGCAGATGCTGGGCCATGGACCACCTCCAAGAAAGGTGACAACTACTTGTCTAAATCCTTCATTTCTCCTCAGTGCCTGTTAGTACTTGCTCAAATCAGTTGGCCAGACAAGTATTGTCAGCTGAAACTGATATTGGACAATGGAGTGTCAATAATGGGCAGTGTTGGACCATGTTTGACTCCACTTTTTCTGTGCCGCTCCCTCAGACATGCTGCTGGCTCCTCCAGTGGCAGACAGCGATGGAGAGAGTGATGGAGAGAGTAACCGTGTCCCAGTTCCCAGCTTCCAGAACTCTTTCAGCCAGGCCTTCGAGGAGGCACTCCTGCAGCACCACGGTCCAACTGCTCCACCCCAGCTGGTGGTCATCCCTGGTCAGTATTTCACTGTCTTTGCTTGTGAGTGATGCCTTATTTATGGAGTTAGAAGACTGCATACTCATCTCTTCCTCACTCTCTTTCAGAGGAAAAGGGAGGGAAAAAGAAGAAGAAGAAACAGAAGCTTCTGTTCAGCACCTCCATGGTTCACACAAAGTAGACTACACTGAAGTTGAAACTTCTCCCTTTACCCTCACACTTTTTTTATTTGATCCATCTCCTGCTATCACTCTGTCATTTTTCCATGCAGCTCTATTTTAGAATTATAAGCAATGGAGAAAGTGTTTAGTATGTAGCCAAAGTAAGTAATACCTCCATCACAGTCCCACTCACTATTTCTTCACTGGAACACCATGCAATTGGTTTATTATGTATTCTACAATAATGCAGGCGCGCAAAGATTTTTTCCACGTCTAAGATTTTGTCATAGACACATACTTTGGGGTTAGACTGATCAGTTTACCATAGTAGAATCTACTTAGGGTTGATTTAGAATGGAATAGGTTTAAGGGGTGCATTTTATTGGGGTAGCAGTCAGACAGCTGTAGGTACGTTACACCCAATGAACCCTTCACAGATTTTCAATCCCGAGTCCAAACACTGTCAGCCCTGAATTTGATATTTTAAACACATTTCTACCTAACTAACTGGTAAAAGGCAGAAGCTGACACACACCTAAAACATTTTTAGAGGTGCAGACTGGGTAAACTATAAAAATAAAGATGCACACTCTGTTCCCAAACATTTTAATGGGTATAGTAACCAACGTTTCAGCATTGCCGAAACATTGGCTGCTCTACCCATTGAAATGTTTGGGAGCATAATTGGTGTGCAACTTTATTTTTATACTAAACTAACAAAAACTCTTCCATTGAAAGTTGTATGTTTATATTTGAGCACCACTCAGAGATGGCCTGAACATAGCAGAACCTCTCTCTATGCATGAGTCTGATTCTCATACCGGTCTGGAGGAAATGCAAGGAATACAGTGTAGCTTGTATTAAAGAAAGGCTTGCAAATCTGTGTGTTGGTGGCTGAGAAATGCACTGTAGACCTTGTTTGATTTATTAGACCATGCATATGCAGTTTCTTTGCTCTGTTCATTTTTCCCCATCTACCACAAGCATTTTTCCTTTTTCTTGCTCTGTAGAGCCAGTTTTCGGTCTAATTTGTAACATTGGCACTTTACCCCCTGGTTTCAATTCAGTATTGCAAATATATTTTGTGTGAAGCTAGAGATTTGCAGACGTTTGATTGCTTTCTATATAAGGAGTGAAAGGGTGGGATTTAAAGATACTATAGAAGTTTTGTTTGAAGGTTATTTTATTGACCTTTTTGATTATTTTGGAAGTTTATAGTGAACATGAAATAGGCTTACATTAATGTTCAACTGGCCTGACATTGGAATTAATAAAGGATTATGCACAAGCAAACTAATTGTCTGGATATTTTTGGTATTGCAGCAACATGAGAGGGTATTGATGCGCCATTGTACTAGGTAACAAAAATGTAACTAGGAGGAATGAGTTGATTTATGAAAAATGTATCGGAGTTGAAAATGTCCCTAATCAGAACCTACCCATACATTTACATCTCACCTGTCGCAGACCGTGTCAGTGTAGTAATGAAAACATTCCACACGGAGGGACACCATTCTGTACCTACCAACTTGTAGCTAGCAGGCAGCCAGCCAACTACAGTATCAAAACAAATCCCTCACCTCTACTACCAAGTTGGAGTGAGCCAGGCGGCAAGGGTGTGAGGAGAGAAAAGTAAGTCAACTAGTTACAGATAGCTATGAACTCAACTTTTTTTAAATAGCTAGTTTCAAATGTATCTATTGAAAGCTCATGTCTCCGAATAGCTGCGATTCAACAAATAATTTTGTTGACATTTGGTGCTGGGAGTCTCCCAGCACAATGTCAAAAGACAATTATTGGTTGAATCGCAGCTAGTCTCCGAACAACCTGGCTACTAGTGTGTTCGCAACAGGTTTGCCACTGCCTGACTGATATACCATTTCCCACACCGCAGAGCGATTGACTGAGACTTGGTTGAAGAAAATAATTAGGTCCTTGAGGAAAGGTGCGGATAAACTCGACAGGTGGATGGATTTCTCAGTGAAGTAAGTTCATTTACCGTCCACTCCTGTATTAACGTTAGCTAGCTAACGACTAAACGCTGATACGGGATAATAGTTCACACCAGCCAGGTTTTGTTGCTAGATACTCAGCTGGCGGTCAGTATCTATCCACTGATTGTTTAAACTAATCGATTCACATAAAACGCAGGGATATGCATGGCTAAGTTGGTAAGTAAGCTAGCAGCTAACGTTAGCTACTGTAGCTAGCTACATTGAGCTAATTGTCATATAGCTAGCTAACGACTTAGCTAAGTACTAGCTAATAATACTACGCTACGTATCTCTTACTAGTTGGTATTTTTCTCCTTCTCTGATCCTCATGGTTTCACATTTGCTAGATAATATTGTAATGTTTTGTTAACTCAGCGTCTCTTGACTTGAGTCAGACTAGTTAGCTAGCTCCGACTAGCCAGTTAACGTTACTAGCTATGTTCTGACATAGGTAAGACTCACTACTCGTTTGCTAACTTTTTGCAAAATTACATGAAATGCATTTCAAATAATTGATTCAGGATCGCATGTAGCAAGTGTTACATCAAAGGCAGTTTCAAAACTTGGCTAAAAGTTGGTTAGCCTACATTTTCTTTGTGCTCATGCGGTGGTGCGTAGCAGTTGCGCTAACGTTAGTTAACCATCTAACGAATAACGTTAGAGAACGTGTCTGGTCAAGACGACTGGCCGCCGAATTAAGTATCATAATGCATGATGTTATATAACTTTCTGGGCAATGAACTATCATCGATCTGACAGAATAAGAGTGAACAAGCTAATAGAAAAATAATCTCACCCTTATTTTCTACACCACCATACTACTAGTCTCACACAGCAACTTCTGTATTCATAGCTAGGTTCAAGTGTTGCTTAGTCTTTGTTCACGTAACACAGTTTGGGAAGTATTTTGTCCTCTGCAAAACTTAAACAGGATAAACCAGACTGTCATTAGCATGACAGTGTTACCCACACAAAGCCAAGGCACAGCACAGGAAATTAGGTTTCATTTGAACAATTCCAGATGCCTTTTTACTACAAGGGGACTCTAGTGTTACTCATAACCATTTCAGACAGAAGATGTGGTATATTTCCTGAAAGAAAATATAAGGCAATGTTTATATGACCCCCTTTCAAACAGCCCTTTATTTACCACTTTCTTGCAGGTACCTTAAAAAAAAATACATATCAGTGGTTAACTGGCAAATTGGGAGGGGTGGGGGGGGTGTTTTATTTTATTTTACCCTTATTTTACCAGATAAGTTGACTGAGAACACATTTTAATTTACAGCAACAACCTGGGGAATAGTTACAGGTGAGAAGGGCCAATTGGAAGCTGGGGATGATAAGGTGGCCATGATGGTATGAGGGCCAGATTGGGAATTTAAACCATGGGGGGCTATTTGCATTTCAAATTAGGGGGGTATTAAACAGTGTTAATTAATTTTCATGCAAAAAAACAGAGAACCATTCACATAGACCCGGTACCTGTATTTTGGTTACAGGGTCTGTGAAAAATGCAGGAATCATGACTAGGTCTATCGGTGGCTTTCAATTGACCATGTTTTTTTTTACCCCCTACCCCATTCAGATGTGTGAAAAAGCTGGTATACAAAAAGCAGGCATGGTAAATTAGTGGGATTTTGGTCTGTATGAAAGGTATGTCAATGTTGTCACCTAATGAGTAATGACTAGTAGTGAGTACAATATGTGTATCTGGACCACACTGTCAAATAGATCCTTAGATCCTATTAAGAACAGTGACTTGAAAGTTTAAAGGTGTTGTCTATACTTACCAATATGATAGAGGACATAGTGGTGTGCATGCATCACACACTGACACTGGCAGGTTGCAAAAAATAATTTTGGCTGAGGAAAGTTGTGGGTCTAATAGTCAATTCTCTAAAGATCTTTATTTTCCTCTCTTCTTCCTCTTATGTTCGTATCTTTTCCTTTCATCTCCCAAATTACCTTTGCTCTCTAGTTCTTTGGTAGTCAAGTCACCACCAAGTTATTCCTCATGAGTGTCAATGTGTGTGTGTCACATATGGTTGCTTATGTTCTATACATGTTTTTCTAACCAAATGTAGGCTAGATGCAGTGTTAAAGCCTGCAGGATTGCTCTATGGACATTGCATTCTAGGCCTTTGCTCTGCAGGTGTACTGCACTCTACTGGTAGACATATTCTCAGTTAGAGCACAGAAGCTGAGCGGTTGTTGCTCCTAGACGTTTCCACTTCACAATAACAGCACTTACAGTTGACCCGGGCAGCTCTAGCAGGGCAGAAATTTGCCGAACTGACTTGTTGGAAAGGTGGCATCCTATGACGGTGCCACGTTGAAAGTCACTGAGCTCTTCAGTACGGGCCATTCTGGTGCCAATGTTTGTCTTTGGAGATTGCATGGCTGTGTGCTCGATTTTATACCCCTGTCAGCAACGGGTGTGGCTGAAATAACAAAATCCACTAATTTGAAGGGGTTTCCATATACTTTTGGCCATGTAGTGTATTTAGTTTTGAGAGAAAAAATCTGCCATCTGTAAGTTTAAGAAACATTGCCTTGTGCCTTGAAATTCCGTTACCAAAAACCCACATATCTTGAACAAAAATATATATGCATGTAAAGTGTTGGTCCCATGTTTCATGAGCTGAAATAAGAGATAATCCATCCACCTGACAGGTGTGGCATATCAAGAAGCTGATTAAACAGCATGATCATTACACAGGTGCACCTTGTGTTGGGGACAATGTGTGGTGTACAATGTAGGCCTACATTCCAAGTGACTTGGGAAAAAAGACATGCAGGGCTTGATATTAACCTGTTTATCCACTTGTCCTAAAGACAAGGAAGTGACTGAAAATGTTGTTGTGTTGTTTGATGCAAGAAACCACAGGCCCACCCACTTGGGAGCCAGGCCCAGCCAATCAGAATGAGTTTTCCCCACAAAAGGGCTTTATTACATACAGAAATACTCCTCAGTTTGATCAGCTGTCTGGGTGGCTGGTCTCAGACGATCCCACAGGTGAAGATGCCGGATGTGGAGGTCGTGGGCTGGCTTGGTTACACGTGGTCTGCGGTTGTGAGGCCGGTTGGATGTACTGCCAAATTCTCTAAAACGACGTTGGAGGCAGCTTATGGTGGAGAAATGAACATTAAATTATCAGGCAACAGCTCTGGTGAACATTGCTGCAGTCAGCATGTCAATTGCACGCTCCCTCAAAACTAGAGGCATCTGTCCTTGCGCATTGAGTTGTATGGTTTGTTAAACTTTGAAATCAATGGTTTTCGTTTGGCATACATTTTAATGCCCATGTCAAACACATTTTTATTTTTTATTTTATTTTTACATAATATGGCAGACGCTCTTAACCCTAATTGCTCCTGTAAGTCGCTCTGGATAAGTGCCTTGCTCAAGGGCACATCGATAGATTTTTCACCTAGTCGGCTCGGGGATTAGAACCAGCGACCTTTCGGTTACTGGCACAACGCTCTTAACCACTAAGCTACCTGCCACATTTCTATCTACTGTATTCTTTTCCCCAGTTGCGATGAGCTTATTTAGAATCTGTCTCATAGCAGAGCTCATTCTGTGTTTTTACCTCATTTGTCTCTAGTTGAAAGGTAGGCTAGTCCCTACTCAATTGAACTTGGTTAGATCTGGTCCAGAATTTGTGTTTGTACTTTAAAGCAAATGGCAGTTGTGCAGGGCGATTCTTACAGCCAGTGGTTTCTCCTCCAGTCCCTGCTGTGTTGCTAGACCCATCTACAGTGAATGTTTAGCATTCCAGCTTTTCAAAAGCGTTTCCTGTCAACAACCACTGCCTCAATTTATCAGACCCCTGTTAGCAGTAGCACACTCGCTTTCCCTTTACTCCCATTCTTGTTTTTCTCTTCTCCATTTTATCTATTATGCATGTTGTGAAATCTACTATTCTTGTTAGTAGTTTTTGAATCTTTGTTTACATCCTTCAAAATGTATGTTAGGGTGTTTCTCTGTGTGTGTCTTTCCATACATGAAAAATGCTAAATGGATTTCCGGTGGGAGGTCTGAGACTATTGTAATGATGTAGAAGTCTGTGCTACACTTTGATGTATACAGCCGCAGGGTCTACTGTTACAGGAAACAGAGTTCCTTCCTTTGTAATGACACCAAATTGTGCTCTCTCCTCAGGCTCCTTCTACTCCTTACTCAAGTGTGATATGACATCACTGAGTGGTTACCACAGAAAACAGGGCTCCACTGCAGACTGTTGACAGTCAGTCAAGTGAGTGATGATGGGATTGCCCACAACAACAACAACAACTAGGACGTGTATGCGACCAATACAATTTGCGACCAATGAAATTGTATCTGAACTGCAGTCAAAGCAGAATTAGATAATTGCACCACCAAACAGTTCTGTGCGTCCCCCTCTCACACCTTAGGAGAGCAGTCAATCCCTTACAGAGAAGCCTATCTCAAGAGAAGAACCAGTGGAATACATTATCAGATCTGGAGGAGCCTCTTAAAGGGCAGCAGTCCACCAAAATATCAGCTTTTTAACGTTGTTGCTTTGATGTTTTTGCTCTCCCTCTTCATGATTTGACTCAGTGTTTATAGTTATTACATACTTATCCCTTATACCACCACAACACATCTCTCAAGTGAACATGGTCCTCTGATAACTCCCAACATTCACAACAGGAGTCTAGCAAGTTTAGAGAAACTTTTAAAGGGTCTACGTAAATGGAGCCGACGGAGGTCAGTTTGCATCGCTCTCTATGTAGTTCTACGTACATTTGTGCAGCTGAATTTTTTGTCTGCTCCGTTTGCGTAGACTGTGTAGAGCCCTTTAGTAGTGGAGGAGCAGAATATCTAATTACTGGTGTAGTTTTTCAATGGAATTCCCCTTTTACTGCCATAGGCCAGACCTGCCCTGCATTACAACACTGACTGAATGGAAAAGACAACAATGAGCCTTCCTGCCTCTGCCTCTCTGGTACTGATATCTGGTGCAGCTCTGTAATCTTCAGATTACTGTTGATCTTCAAAACAAGCACCAGACAGTAATTGTGCTGGCAGGATTTCTGCTGTCTCACCTGTAGCTGCATCTATATTTTGAGATCTTGGGATTATAAGGTTCTATCTGCAAAAAGATGATTCTGAGATAATTGGCTTTAAAGTTCCGAACCCTAATTGATTTGAATGGTGTCAGCTATTTTTATTTTGTATTCTTTAGAATTTATATAAATTGGGGTGTTTTTAAAGTACTATATAGGTAGAAACATTGAACAGACCAAGGCTATGTCATTAATTCAATTTTGACAAAAATGCAGATAGAACCTCGATTTGTCTCAGACTATGGGTAATGGTTATCTCTGAGTCAGACCCAGTCACGGCAGACAGAGAAACAGTAGATGAAAACGATGCTGCCAGTGAACTGAACCCTTCCCATACCCAGGGAACTGAACCCTTCCCATACCCTGGGAACTGAACCCTTCCCATACCCTGGGAACTGAACCCTTCCCATACCCAGGGAACTGAACCCTTCCCATACCCAGGGAACTGAACCCTTCCCATACCCAGGGAACTGAACCCTTCCCATACCCAGTGAACTGAACCCTTCCCATACCCAGGGAACTGAACCCTTCCCATACCCAGGGAACTGAACCCTTCCCATACCCAGGGAACTGAACCCTCCAGAGGTGATGGATCTCCCCCTCTCCCCCTGGCGGAGGCCTGCCATACTGATGAATGGCCTCTGTTTAACAGCCCATCTGCTTCTAGAGCAGCCAGCCACATCTCTGGGTGCATGACGCCTCCCAAGGCAAAGTCCAGAGTAGTGCCCAGATAGAGGCAGTAAAAGCTGTCTTGGTTCTCCCATGTTCCTGATGTGAATGCACCAGTCGTAGTACAGTCAGTGCATTGCATCAGAGAAAGGAGTGGCAGTACGACTCACTGAATAGATGGATCATTTATTGGACTTTGTTTATAGTTTTATTGGTAGACGGACAGTTAATGGCCAAGGCTGCTGATAGAGATTTGTACATTCCTCTCACTAGGTGTTTTTCCACAGGGATGGCTGCACAAGTGGAGGTGCAGACAGGGGAGGTGGGAAGGACAGGTGTAGGTGGACGACTGCACCTCAGCCCTCTGGCTGACTCCAGCAACAAGAGCCCTACGGAGGGCCCCTCCAACACCCAGGGCTCCCTCATCATCACTCCAGAGCCTAGTAAAACTATGCCTGCACCCAAACCACGGCTCACTCCCAAACCTTTCACTGTGGAGAAAAACCCCACCATCCGGCCAATACTTGCTCCTAAGCCTAATACCAAGCCCCGACCAGCGCCCACTCGCCCTACTTCTTACAAACCTGACCCACCCAGCCCCCCAAAACCTCAGCAGCCAAATGTCACCAGCAAACACAGGCCAGTGCCGACCAACCCCAGCCGTCCTGCTCCTACCTCCTACAAACCCTCTCCCAAGTTGAGCACTGGACAAACCACAAAGCCTGTAGCCCAGCCCTTCAAACCCTTCCCTCTTCTAACCCTTGGGGACCCCAGCAAACCAACTCCCTCCCAACCGGTGCGGCGTCAGAAGCCAGCAGCGGCAGGCTTTTCCCACTCACGAGGCCCTAAGAAACCGCCTTCAGCAGAATGGTCCGGATCCACCAAACAGGAGAAGGAAAGGAACAAAACAGCATCCAGTATCAGAGCTGGGGGAGCCTCTATGACCAGAGCCAAGTCTATGGGCTTCCTCAGTCAGATAGGGCAAGATGAGGAAGAGAGGAAGGGGGATGAAGGGCCAAAGGTCAGAGTCCAACTCCGACCCCAGTCTAGAGGCTCCAGGCCCAGACCTGTGTCAGCCATCTTCCTGCCCTCTCCCACTCAGGCTGAGCTGCCCACCCCAGCTGCTCGCTGGGCAGTGAGACGGCCCCTCTCAGCCGACCTCACCTCCAAGTTTGAGTCCATTGGCCTGTCGCTGCACCACGGCCGACCTGCCAAGACAGACAGCAAGGAAAACACTCCAGCAGAACCGCTACGGAGGAGAGAGAAGGAGAAAGGAGCAGAGAGGACCACTGTTACACCACCAGCCCCAGACAGCAAGCCCTCAGCCTTAGCACGAGGGAGCGAGAAGAAAACAGAGGAAGAGAAAGAGGATGATCAGGATGAAGGGAAGGGTGGAGGCAGCATCAAGAGACGGATCAGTCTCTTGCTTGATTCTTCCTCTTCCTCTCCTGTGGTTCCTCTCCGTGTTGCTGCCCAAAGACCAGAGCCTCACTGTCCAGTACAGCCAATCCTAGAGGCAGATGTATCACTGGGTGCTGTTAAACAGCGAATCAGGAAGCTTACTGAAGATACTGTTACACCACCAGCCCAGACCCCTGCTGTTAGACCACCGTTTAAGTCCCGCCCTCTGCCCCCTGACCTGACCAAAAGGTAGGAGCTCCTCACCACACTCAGTCTGTCAGTCCTTTTATGGCTCTCCCATTGGCATGACCTGTCCTGTCCTGTCTTGTGTGATATGTATGTTTCTCTTCATCAGGTTTGGCTCTGAGAGGTCCACAGACCTCAGCAGTCCCTCCCCCAATGAGGCGACAGACTGCCATGAGAGTGACACTGATCTTCAAAGGAGGGTAAGAGAGGTTCTGGGATCTGCTTAGGTTAATCTGGTGTAGGTGGTTTGGTGTAGGATTGCAGTGAGCCCTGTGAGAATTTTTCAAACTCCCGTGCCTACCAGGCAAATCCAGTTGAAACACTACTGTCTATAATAGGCAAGCAATGAGGTAACAGTTCAAGCTTGAATCCTTAATTGGTGAAACTGCCACGTCCGTTTGGGATATTACAATAACAATTAAGTTACTGCAAACAACAAACACTGTTTTTTTGTGATAGAACAGCAGAATATGTACTGCAGTTTATTTTACCACGTTGCCAGACGCTCACCTCAAAACAATAACAAAGGTGTTGGGACGAACAGTGACACTGTTTTCCCAAATGCCAATTTGATTTAAAATCTCTGGTCTTCAGTAACCAGTTTTTCATCCAACCTTTTTATGAGAGTAAAATACATGTTGGATAGAAAATGTCACGACGCGCCTGATGGAAACAGCTAAGTTGTCGGTAAACTTGACCAATGTCGACAAAACAAAATATGCTAGACAAGGTGGGGTCTTTTTGTGTCTGTACAATTAATTATGCCAGAAATGGCGGCGCAAATGTTTTTATCTGCAAATATTGATATAATAACCATCATATCGAAGTAAACTTGGAGTCACGTGATGGCATGTTGTATGGTCCTCCCACTATGACTCGGGAAACCACACAGTTTATTAGGCTTCACAGGGTGGTGAAAGTGCAAAGTGATGAGCTTGTTGCTCCTTTCAAATAAATATCAAGGGTCTTATTCTGATGACATGATAGGTGGCAGGTAGCCTAGCGGTTTAAGATTTGGGCCAGTAACCGAAGGTTGCTAGTTCGAATTCCTGAATAGGTGAAAAATCTGTTGATCTGCCCTTGAGCAAGGCACTTAACCCTAATTGCTACAGGATCGCCGTCAATAATGGCTGACCCTGGCCGTGACCCCGCTCTCCGAGGGTGTCAGTGGGATATGCAAAAAAAAACATTTCTATTTCACACCACACGTGTACAGGTTACACACTTGTACATATGTGAAACAGGACAAATATAAGCACCCCCTATTTGGCCTTTTACCTTTTGATGCTTGGCTGCCGTTTGAGAAATAAAAATAATCTTGCTGTTTTGTCCATTATAATTTCATAATGTAGGCTATACCTGCACTGTATATGCGATCTGTTGGCCAGGACGCACGTGACAATACCAGAGTGGGCACATACACTATATAACGCAACAGTTTTCTGTTGTTGTGACAAAACCATCAGTGGAGTTGAAAATGCGATGGAAACCCTTTTAACTTGTACTTTTTGTGGGAATTTAACTACAAAAGTTATTTTTATGTGCACTACGTCATCACGCACAGTCTTTTATCCGCAACAAGGCAATTTGATGGAAATGCATATCTCGTGGGAAATGCGCATTGTTTTTATGCAGATTTTAGAATATATGCATGAAAATCTGTCGCCAATTGGAAGGAAACTTAGCTAGTGACACAAAATAAAGTTGTCTGTTTTGCTGTAAAAACAGAATGAGAGCCATTCCAGCAATTTACTAATGCCCATCCAATTTGAGTTAAGTAGCAAATTACCAAAGATGATAATAATAATAATAATAATATGCCATTTAGCAGACGCTTTTATCCAAAGCGACTTACAGTCATGTACGCATACATTTTTACGTATGGGTGGTCCCGGGGATCGAACGCACTACGTTGATAGATCAATGTTGATAGATCAATTGAATCAGCCTGTTAAATGATCTGTCACAACACTGGGGGATTGGTGAGTGCTTGGACTGTATGTGTCCCATCTTGTCTTGTTTTACGGTCACTGTTTGGTTTGATTAGCAACATTTGAAGATGGTGTTAACTTAGTTAAAGCTTTGTGAATACAGTATTTTCCTTTATTTTTTTTTATAGTTTAGATTTGTGAAAATGTAATGTATTGATATAGTAGTTTCTGTGTTTGCCACTGTAAGCCCCCAAAAAATTACTTGATCATAGTTCTGATTTGCATTTCATCTCTCAAACAACCTGGGCACAAAACGTTTTCTCTGAATCAGTCTTTGCTTTCCTTATGGGAACGGGGCATGGAAGAGAAAAGGAACGCCACTGCCACAGAGGTACAAAGAACTGTGAAACCTAATCTGGGGCATTGCTCATCTCTGTTGGTTCTCTGTGTGTTGGTTATGAAACATGCTGAGAGAGAAGCACTGGGAAAAGGTCAACACGGAGAGGCTTTTATTACCACATCTGCACCACACCCACTTTTACGGCCCCAACAAAGAGGAGTGGGATCCCCTTTCTGCCCAGACACAGTTGCCTCACTCAATCACTTCCCTTTGTATCACCCTCTCCTTTTCTCTGTCATGATATAATGCTTACAACAAATTAGACTATTTGTTCAAACAGAATCCCATATCACTCCCATATCTTGTATTATAGACCAGCTAAGTGTATCTGTTTAAATGAATTTCTTGAAAGAAAATGGCAGATGATTTTGACTTTAAGCTAAAGGTTAGAAAATCGTCCCCTTATCAATTTCTTATCATTTACATCTACATTTACATTTTAGTCATTTAGCAGACGCTCTTATCCAGAGCGACTTACAGGAGCAATTAGGGTTAAGTGCCTTGCTCAAGGGCACATTTACGTCATTTAGCAGACGCTCTTATCCAGAGCGACTCACAAATTGGTGCATTATCCAATTTGGTTTATTGTTAGGTTTATTGACATGAGCACTCATAAGTAAATGAATAACTAGTTAATAAATATTGAAGAAAGAAAGCTTGATTTAAGATGACGTACAACTTGTCAAGGCAGTGCTCATAAGAACTATTGCAGAAAGTGTCCAGCCTGTCTGACTTAATGTAACCAAACTCATTAAATTACTTATATTTAGGTGGAGGACTCAGTTTTCAGCTTCAGTGACCAAAAAAAGGTGGATGAGGACATCAGAGGCATACAAGAGCAGCCCACCCAGACCTCCTCTGACTCCTCAGCTGTACTGACTGAGGCAGGGCGATGGATGGAGAGCTGCCCCAGCAGTGGGGCGCAGATGGTGCGTGCAGCCCTGTTTGAGAATGTGGTGGAGAGACACAGCGTGCTGTTGATGGAGGAGGACAGGGCACAGAGTGCCACAAAGGGCTGTCCCAAGAGAAGTGTGTCCCTCAATATGGGGGATGGGGAGAACGATGGCAGCCTGGTCACCGCCACCTACCGTGAGCCTGTGTCTCCCTCCAGTCCGCTTCTTGTAGAGCACTCGTTTGACACTGTGCAGGCGGTGGGAGAGAGGAGAGCTGTTAGTGAGAGTGTTCCTTCGGCTCAGCTGGAGGACAAGGCCATGACCCTCCGTTCCAGGCGTTCTGTGGGGAATAGGCCATCCAGGGCCGAGCCAGTGGAGGAGAGACATGCTCAGGTCCAAGGAGTCCTCAGTTTGGCTCAGAGGGGAGCACCAGCCTCTCAACAGGAACAGGTACCACGCTACCTGAGGGTTGGAGCTCTGCAGAAGTGGAATACCGCTGAGATGGATAGGGACGCAGAGGTAGAGAAAGGAAGGCAAATGGAGAGGGAGAGAAAGGAGGATGAGAAAGACAGGCAGAGGGAAGTGGAGAGGAGGATGAAAATGGATGTAGACAGAGAGAAGCCGAGAGAGCAGGAGAGGGAGAGAGAGGAAGTGGCAGCACCGAAGCGGTTGAAAATGCTGGAGGCAGATGAGCAGCCACCCAAACCCAGGGCCACCTACTTTGCTCTGACTGGTCAGATCCAGGAAGCCGTATCCTATGGGGACGAGGAAACAGAGAGAGGGGACATGGAAGTTCCCTTTGACGATTTCTCTTTGAAGTCTGGACAATGGGGCTCTCAAGGGAAGGTCTTGCAAGTACGAAGGAACCCCTCTCTAGATGAAGCTTTTGGAAAAAGCTCCCAAGAAGAAGAACTGATGGAGCGGAAGCAAACACAGGAAAGGGAGAGAGGAACGGCATGGGACAGACAGACATGGATGGAGGAGATGGAAATAGAAAAACAGAAACAAGTAGACCTTGAGAAAGTAAGAGAATTGGAGAGGGAGAAAGAACGGCAGAGGGAGAGAAAGGAGTTTGAGAGGGAGAAACAGACACAGCTGGAAATGGAGAGACAGAAACCGTTAGAATATGCAAGAAAGAGAGAGAAGGAGAAGCAGAGAGATTTAGAAAGAGAGAGACAAAATGAGTTGGAGAACGAGAGACAAAGAGAGCTGGAAAGACAGCGACGGCAAGAGCTGCAGAGGGAGAGCCAGAGAGAGTTGGAGAGCGAGATGGAGAGGGAGAGAGAGTTGGAGACAGAGAGACAGAGAGAGTTGGAGAGAGAGAGGGAGAGGGAGAGAGAGATAGAGAGGGAGAGAGAGTTGGAGAGCGAGATAGAGAGGGAGAGACAAAAAGAGCAGGAGAGGGAGAGACGGTGTGAGCTGGAGAGACAGAAAGAGTTTGAAAAGGAGAGGCAGAGACAGTTAGACTTAGAGAGACAGAAGAAGTTGGAGAAGGAGAGGACTGAAGAGTTGGAGAGATTCAAGGAAATGGAAAGAAGACAACTGTTTGAGTTAGAAAAACAGAGACTGAGGGAGAAGATGGAGAGAGAGGAGCAGGAGAAGATGAGACAGCAAGCCATACAACAGGAGGAAGAGAGACTGAGAGAGTTGGAGAGGGAGAGACAAAAAGAGTTGGAAAAGGAAAGACGGAAAGAGTTGGAGAGATTAAAGGAAATGGAGAGAAGACAACTGTTTGAGTTGGAAAAACAGAAGCAGGCTGAGAGAGAGAGAAAACAACTTCTGGAGCTTGAAAAACAGAGACTGAGGGAGAAGATGGAGAGAGAGGAGCAGGAGAAGATGAGACAGCAAGCCATACAACAGGAGGAAGACAGACTGAGAGAGTTGGAGAGAGAGAGGCAGCGTGATCTGGAAAGACAAAAACAGAGAGAGTTGGAGAGGGAGAAACTGCGAAAGTTGGAGAGAGAGAGGCAGCGCGATCTGGAAAGACAAAAACAGAGAGAGTTGGAGAGGCAGAGACAGAAACAGTTGGACTTTGAAAGACAGGAATTGGAAAACCAGAGGGAGAGAAAAAGGGAGTCAGAGAGGGAGAGACAGAGGGTAGAAGAACTGGAGAGAATAAAGGAGATGGAGAGAAGACAAGTGTTTGACTTAGAAAAACAGAAGCAGAATGAGAGAGAGAGACAACGGCTTCATGAGCTTGGAAAGCAGAGACTGAGGGAGAAGATGGAGAGAGAGGAGCAGGAGAAGATGAGACCGGTAGCCAGACAACAGGAGGAAGACAGACCGAGAATCATGGAGAGGCAGAGGAGAGAGAACCAGGAGAGGGGGGCACTGGACTCCTTACCTCTCAGACCTAAAGTGCTGGATCTAGACTCTGTGTCTCTGGGTGACCAGCACTCCAGAGGCAGTCCCCACTCACCTGGTGTCCGATGGAAGCAGCCCTCTCCCTGGGCAGACGACCACTACAGACCTGGCATCCTGGACATAGACTCATTCAGGTCCCAGACCGAGACACAACCCTTGTCCACTCGAGAGGTGTTCCCTGTCGCTGGCATCCAGGGCTCAGACCCAAGTAGTGTGGCGAGATCCCACCCCCACTCTCCAGAAAGGGAAGGTGGCCATAGGATGGCTCCCAAGGGCACAGTGGGGAAACCCAGTACAGTGCGGGCCCCCTCTCAGCAGGAGCTGTGGGAGCAGAGGCTAGGCATCAACGAGGAATCAGTGGATAGGCCCATGGCTGGACCAGAACCACCCAGGAAGCCTGCCAATAAACCCAGCCTGGAGCAGCTCCTCCACAGGCTGGAGGACAGGGCCACGGCCCCAATCCTGGTCCCAGAGAGACGCTGGTCTGGTATGCCCAGTGAACCATCCTTCCCCAGGAGAGAGCCCCACAGCTCTGGGTCCCCCATGGAGCAGACCTGGTTCCCCCAGGACTCAGAGCCCCAGGGGCACAGGGTAGAGGCCAGAGGACAGAGGAGATCTCAGGGCTCCCAGGTAAGAAACAGTATCATATAGAGAGACATAGGCTATGTGAGTCAGTAGCATTTATAGATTCAATTAATTCAACCAGTACAAGTGCTTTTGTGTAATGTTATGATTATGGGGGGTAGTTTAGTGTTGACACACAGTTAGGCAGTACACTACCAGGATACACTTCCACACTCCTTTCCCAGGTGGCAGCACCAACCGGCTCAGGGGCAGGTGCTATGCCAAGCCTTATTAAGCCCACAGGTGGAGGCAATCGAAAGATGATTAGGGTGCAAGCTTGCAGAACCGGGAGGATGCAGGTTTTTCTTTCTTGGTGGCCTTTGGTTTTGGGTTGAATCCTTAGTTTTGTCCATTTTTGTTTATTTTTGTATATATGTATTTCGTCCACCATTTTGAATGAACAATAATCTGCTTGGGCTAGCCGAGGAGGTGTTAAGACTGAGCTAGACCTAAGGTAAGGTTGCTGTCTCCTGGATACATGTACATACAACACGGTCCTCATACGCTGATTTCTCACATAGTGAACACCTTAAATCAGGTTACAGACCAGTTAACCAGGCCTAAAACCCCTAGACTTAGCGAGCGTATCAATATTAGCAGGCTAGTAAACTGTTCCGTAACAGCAAACATTCGATTTCTGTCTTAGGATCTGAACCGGATGAGGTCCCGCAGTGTGTCCCGTAGATCAGCCCCGTCTGAGAGTGCTATGGAGGGGACCCTGTCTAGGATGAGGAGTAGGAGTGCACATAGAGAGAGGGACCGACAGAGCTGGGTGAGTCATGATGCTCTGTTTCCATACACACACAATCACCTCATTTCTGACTCAAAGTTGGATCCGTTTCAGAAATGAGCTTCTGCTACAGTGAAATTACACTGCTTCATCATGGTAACAATTGAAGCCCCTCAATTCTTTTTCATCACTGTTTATACTTTTGAGCTAATTCTCCCAGAAGAGGGGAAAAAAAAGTAAATGCTTGTAAATGACTTAATTAGAAGATTTGGTTGTGTGAGTTAAAGTAGGGTGGAGTAGGAATGCAGTTAGTTCACTGGGAGAGTTGAGTGCTGTGCGGAGCACTGGAAGTAATGAGTTGATGAGTAATGTGAAAAGCATGGTCTCACTCATCTCTCCACCTCCTTTTACCGCACAAAGCAGAGAAATTAAATGATATTTTCAGGCCTGTAATTCAGGTTTGTTATTAGTCAAATAGTTAATAAGTACATGTGCTGCTCATTTTGACAGCTTTCTGTTTGCATAGCTGAAGAAAGGCTCTGCGGTGACATTTCCCATAGTGATATTGACATTCCTTTTATTCAAGCACCTGTCTAATACTTTAGTGTTTGCTTCTCCTTACCACTGGTACACTGCAGAGACCCATGCACCATGTAATTAGCCTACATATCAGCCTGTGCTACAAAGCAGATTCCATTCAGAGACAAAGCAAATGTGGGCTACACGTTTGCATGGATAACCATGTCCATCTGCCCAAGTGTAAATGGCTGAAAGTGAAATGTTTATAAGCATACAATACATTCATTACATTATTAGAGAATGGGCTGCCCCCCTCCCCCAATGAGCCCTCCCTCTCCAATGAGGCCTCTGTGTTACTCCATGATGTTTCTATTTGTGTGTCTGTCACCTCCTGCTGGTCTATGGTGTGAAATACAATATGAAGGCCTGAGTGATGCTGCAATTACCGCAGGGATTCTAGTTTTTAATTGTTTGTAGAGCAACTGGAGACACAGGTGTGAAATACCTTGTCTAGAATGAGTTATTGATGTAACGGCTACCAACCAGAACATTAAGCTATCCAAGACCAACAATACAAACAGACTATACTAAACGAGTTAAATGTCTTACCTGTAATGACAAGTTTTCCACACACATAGCTATGTGTAGCCTATTTAGATACTGGGTCTCCATAATTTCCCAGTCTCCCACGCCGAATAGCCTGAAGCCACAGGGCTCTTCTCGCAAGCTCTATTTCCCTATGTGTGTGCATGGCGAACCGTAGGTCGGGATCTTTTACATGGTTAAATCAACAACGAAGTTGGCTCTTTTACACTGGGGGTCAATGGGAAATAATGTTTTGCCCCAATTTGTGGGCGTGGTTGAGGGGAATTCCTTATTACGTGAGTATCAACATGTGTCAATGACTCTGTCGCTTGCTGTTGTGATGATAGTGTTTTTCTGTATCAGTGTGGAGGTTGGGCCTAGTGAGTGCGCACTATGGGAAATGTATGTCTATCTCATGAGATCACACGGGTATGATCACATCATTACTAATATCATGGTTAGCGAGGGGAGAGGTAAAGACGGAGAGATGGTTGCCAGGCTCAGAGACATGGTATACTACACGAGCTGTCGTGCTGTCTGGCTGTGATGGGAGATCATTCATCAGAGCAGGGAAGCCAGTGAGAGGACAGACGAGACGGATACAACTGAAGTCTGTGGTCCTCTGTAGCTCAGCTGGTAGAGCACAGCGCTTGTAACGCCAAGGTAGTGGGTTCGATCCCCGGGACCACCCATACACAAAAAAAATTGTATGCACGCATGACTGTAAGTCGCTTTGGATAAAAGCGTCTGCTAAATGGCATATTATTAAGTCATTAGGCTTACATCCCTTTGTGGACTCTGTTTAGAGGTGACTTGAGGGCTGTCATTTCTTGTTGAACAATTGTTAAAGCAGAGTTTTTTTTTTTTCTGTAGTAAAACGGTTATCTCCATAGTCAGTTGGTGTTGATGAAACTTGAGTCTGTGTTTGTGGAGAGAACTGTGATTTCCAGCTATAGGATGGTTCCTGGAGGGAGATGGTTTGTTTGCTTTTAGAATGTTGTTCCTCAGAACTATTCTCCAGAAGCCCACCAGGGGGCACTTGTGGGCAGCTCAGAGCAGCAGTCATCAGCCTCTGCCCCAGTTTGTTCTGAGGGGGGGTTCTGTTTGAGAATAAATCTGTGGTGCTCGGTTGTCTTACTGAGTGTCTTAACTCAGTGAGATGAACGGTGGAGGACTGAAAGGGGAAAGGAGAGTTCTGTGACCTGACATGCAGTTTACATGAGTCAGGGAGACATTTGTTAGGCAAACTCTGTCGTGATTCCTCCCTTTAGCCATGAGCTCACTGTGCTGCTGACAACCACAACCCCAGCTCTTGAAAACAGCCACACCTGTCTCCTCCACTCCTCCTCGCTCTCTTTTGCTCCCTCTCTTTCTTTCAGGCATGCATTTTCTCCATCTATTTGAAGGTATAGGCTCAACAACATAAACATCCACCCATGAACTTGAACTATGTCTCTTAGTTTCTATCACTGTCAACCCCCCCCCCCCCCCCCCATCCTTCCTATGTTTGCTTTCTACCCCCTCCGCCCTGTGCTGACTGCCTGTGAGAATTCTCTCTTGCGTGCTGCAAGCAGAAACAGGCAGGAGAGACGGAGCACCGCAGAACATATATCGCCCTCCCCTCCTGCACTGCAAATCAGGGCCCTCCCTCTCTCCACTTCTCCCTCGCTCCCTGCCTCCTCTCTCCCCTCCCTCACTTCGTTCGCTCAGTTTCTCCTTGAGCGTGAGTCCTGTAGCGCTGGGGACTGGGAGCAGGAGACTGACGCATTTCTCTATCTGCCTGTACCTGCAGGGGAAGAGGGAGGGAAGGAGAGTGCACTGGTCTTACTTTGTCTCTCATGGATTTGACCTTAGCATCACAATCTCCTCTCCTGTTTGTGCTTCTATATCCACGGTGCTGCTCTGCTGTTGGTATGCTGTGTACTCCGAGGGAATAGGAATCAGTACAGCTCTTCCTCCTGCCTGACACCAGCTGTTCTGTTCTTCCTGTAAAGTTTTCCACCAGGAAGACGACCGCAGCGTGGGCACTATGGAGAGGTAGATTTTATGAATTGTGTTCCTCTGTGATTCCGGACGTGTCAGAGCGATAGCAGCAGCGACAGCTTCAGAATCCCACTGTCAGGTTTGATGTGTGAGGGGCGTGAGAATCAGAACAGATAAGCTATGTTGTGACATTGCATTGCACTTCTACGTCTGTGGATTTATTGCTGCTACTTGGTGTGATCATCAGTATGTGGCTGAAGAACCCGTTTACAGACGGTGCAGCAGTATATCTGCTGTGATCACATCGTCACACCTGAGTCTCTACCAGCTGGGGTTGTCTGTAAAACAGCCGTAACCCCTTTGGGTTCCCGCTACGGTCTTGCCCTTCTGTATAACTGTGTATGGAAATAGGCATCTTGCAGAACAACAGAAAGCTTAAATATAGTTCACCTTAGCCCCAGATCCTGGGCCCCTCGCTACTGATGATGGACTGAAATGGAGTCATGATGGCTCCAGTGGGAATGGACAGCACAGAGGCTCACTGAAAAGCACTAAGGGACAGTGAAGCTGGACAGAGACACTAGGGCATCTGACTGGCTGTGCTATCCTTTACAAACAGCCCAGCTACTGCAGCATTGACCTAGCTACGCACCTCAACAGTATCCAGGACACCAGCTCTGGACCTGGATCACTACCTGGCTCAAGGGCTCACCCTCGACCACGGTATCACACTGGACTGCTACTGGACTCAGTAAACTATAGTAATCTCCACAGCCTGACTGAGCGCTTTGTCCGGACTTCATTCTGTGAAGTTGGTCTTTTAGTGTTCTGATCTGAGATGGAGTACCTGGGGGACAAGCTGTCGGTGGCCCAGTCCCAGGTGTCTGGGTGGATGGGGAACGTACGCCGCTCCCTGCAGGGGGCACTCAGCTTGGTGTCCAGTGCAGTGGAACGTGGGGGCAGGGGGGCCGAGGACAGCCCCGGGGGCTTCAAGAGGGCCAACTCGTTACGTTCTCTAGCCTCTCGCAGCCGGGACTCTTTCCGTAGGTTCTCTCTGCGCAGCCAGCAGCGCCTGTCCCTACGCAGGCGTCCTGGGACCAGCACCCCCAACACCCCCACTGCTGTAAGACACACACACAATTTGACACACTCCCCCGCATCAATCCTTCTCACCACCAACTGTCCTTCCATCACTCACTGCCCATTCCATGGACCTCAAACTTGTCAAGGCCTTCTCTACTTGTGTGTTTTATGTCTGTATTTGTGTTGCCATGTGCATTCTCTCTCTCTGATCCTGATAGTTCCTGACTGTTCTGCTTTTCTTCGCTGCTCAGTGCTCACCCCCCTCTGTGCCTGTGTCCTCTCTCTCGCCCTATGTCTCTCATACCATCTTTGAAATAACACTGACCTTTGTCTGTGTGTGCACCATAGCTCCCACTGCAGAAGCAGTGTCATTGGCTCCTCAGGTCATAGCTTACTGTGGGCTGGAGTTGGGTTTCTCGCCCCCTGTCCCTCCCTCCTAAACTATGGTCTGGTTTAATCTAGTCTGTGTATAGAGCAGTCAACAACAGTGCTGGAATCCATGTATGGATATAGGCTATATAGCTATGGATCCCATTTAGTTGCAGTAGTTGTGTAGTGACACCCATTGTAGGTCAGTTGGGGGGGGGGCTATCTTTTATTAGACAATGAAGTTTGGGTGTGAGATGATGATGAGGAAATGTGTTATTTGAACTGTTAGTCTGGAAACGGTTTGATTGCAGTTTTTACTAGATTTGCAGATTTGCTTGAATGGTGAGATGTGATGAATGGTCAGAGAACTGAGGCCAGTGAGATGTGGGGAGAAAGAGGTGGACAGGGGCCAGCCAGATAATGGAGCGGTAGAGAGGATGAGAGGAGGTGGGGGGGGGGGGGGGGTCTACTCACTGAAAGGACCACAGGGATGGGGGTGCTGGGATGGATTGTACACAAAACTGCACATGCACAACTCCAGTCCTCAAGGACTGCAGTACTGCTGGGTTTTTCCCCTCCACGGTACCTAATGCCCAGAAAGTCCACACACCTGGACTCATGTCTGAATACAAAGAAAGAACAAAACCCCACACAGACACAGCAGCCCTTTACTGATTCACTCTCTCGGTCTGGTTTGTGTGTACGTGTGTCCTGTTTTTAGCTAGAGCCTGTGTTGGTTGTCCGTACAGTACCTGAGAGCCAGCTGGTGGATCATCCAGATGCCCTGGTCTCCCTCAGGCTGACTCAGCTGACCTGAACCCACCACCTCTCCCTCTGGACCCAGTCCTCCACCCTGCAGCCTGTATCAGCCAGGCCCACTGGTCTTAAGTTCTTAAGCCGAGTCAGTCAGGTTTTAATTACATTCTGTTCTGCATTCTTAGCAAACACTTGTACATTGCTGAGCCCCTTGTCTGTACATTACACTTACAGTGGGGAGAACAAGTATTTGATACACTGCCGATTTTGCAGGTTTCCCTACTTACAAAGCATGTAGAGGTCTGTAATTTTTATCATAGGTACACTTCAACTATGAGAGACGGAATCTAAAACAAAAATCCAGAAAATCACATTGTATGATTTTTAAGTAATTAATTTGCATTTTATTGCATGACATAAGTATTTGATCACCTACCAACCAGTAAGAATTCCGGCTGTCACAGACCTGTTAGTTTTTCTTTAAGAAGCCCTCCTGTTCTCCACTCATTACCTGTATTAACTGCACCTGTTTGAACTCGTTACCTGTATAAAAGACACCTGTCCACACACTCAATCAAACAGACTCCAACCTCTCCACAATGGCCAAGACCAGAGAGCTGTGTAAGGACATCAGTGATAAAATTGTAGACCTGCACAAGGCTGGGATGGGCTACAGGACAATAGGCAAGCAGCTTGGTGAGAAGGCAACAACTGTTGGCGCAATTATTAGAAAATGGAAGAAGTTCAAGTTGACGGTCAATCACCCTCGGTCTGGGGCTCCATGCAAGATCTCACCTTGTGGGGCATCAATGATCATGAGGAAGGTGAGGGATCAGCCCAGAACTACACGGCAGGACCTGGTCAATGACCTGAAGAGAGCTGGGACCACAGTCTCAAAGAAAACCATTAGTAACACACTACGGCGTCATAGATTAAAATCCTGCAGCGCACGCAAGGTCCCCCTGCTCAAGCCAGCGCATGTCCAGGCCCGTCTGAAGTTTGCCAATGACCATCTGGATGATCCAGAGGAGGAATGGGAGAAGGTCATGTGGTCTGATGAGACAAAAATAGAGCTTTTTGGTCTAAACTCCACTCGCCGTGTTTGGAGGAAGAAGAAGGATGAGTACAACCCCAAGAACACCATCCCAACCGTGAAGCATGGAGGTGGAAACATCATTCTTTGGGGATGCTTTTCTGCAAAGGGGACAGGACGACTGCACGTTATTGAGGGGAGAATGGATAGGGCCATGTATCGTGTGATCTTGGCCAACATCCTCCTTCCCTCAGTAAGAGCATTGAAGATGGGTCGTGGCTGGGTATTCCAGCATGACAACGACCCGAAACACACAGCCAGGGCAACTAAGGAGTGGCTCCGTAAGAAGCATCTCAAGGTCCTGGAGTGGCCTAGCCAGTCTCCAGACCTGAACCTAATAGAAAATCTTTGGAGGGAGCTGAAAGTCCGTATTGCCCAGCGACAGCCCCGAAACCTGAAGGTCTGTATGGAGGAGTGGGCCAAAATCCCTGCTGCAGTGTGTGCAAACCTGGTCAAGACCTACAGGAAACGTATGATCTCTGTAATTGCAAACAAAGGTTTCTGTGCCAAATATTAAGTTCTGCTTTTCTGATGTATCAAATACTTATGTCATGCAATAAAATGCAAATTAATTACTTAAAAATCATATAATGTGAATTTCTGGATTTTTGTTTTAGATTCCGTCTCTCACAGTTGAAGTGTACCTATGATAAAAATTACAGACCTCTACATGCCTTGTAAGTAGGAAACACTGCCGATTTTGCAGGTTATCAAATACTTGTTCTCCCCACTGTATGTCAATGTTCTTTTCAGTTCTCCATCATAGGTCAGTGATTTGGTAGCTATGTGACGTGGCTGGAGTGCTGCTCTGTTGTTGACAGGGGATTGGTGCTCATGGGATCTGTAGTCATATTAGGATAGCTGCGGTGTCGTCATTGACCAGTCCACTCCATGATGAATGTGTTTACTGTTAAACATTCCTAGTGAGGAAGACTCCACCTAGAGGGGTTAGAACAGGAGGGAGGTGCTGGGGCGTACTGGGGGCGGTGTGATGTTTGTTCTGTAGTGTTTGTGTTGGGGTCATTGTACCTGCACTAACTAACCGGCCTGCTATATGTTGTCTGCTTCTAGGCAGTAGGACCATATGTTAAATGTCTTAGAGCTGCACAGCACTTCCTCATTCATAGAGCTGTGTGACTGACTGGCTGTTATTCAGGGCGGATATTCATTCTTGTTTTGCAGTAAGGAAGTGGATTAATAGAAATCATATCCAACTTAAACTGACCATGCCTTTATACAGTAACGTGATGGGCCTAGCGTGTGTTTTCAGCATCTCAACCCAAAGTAGGCATTTTGGATTAAAATAAGAGGAAGGGCCTTTACGGTAAACATTTTCAGAAATGTGATGGTGATGGTGTCATAATAGCAGGCTGTTGTTCAGAGCCGTGATGTCTGACAGGTCTAACTTTCCAAGGCCTCGGCTCCTCCACTTCCTCAACCATGTGTCAGATTGTCAATCTCCCTTTCTCTCCTCCCTCCTGCCATTCATCCGCTCATTGTTCTGTCATTTCCCTTGACACACCCTTCCTGTCCACAGAGGGGGTATCTTAGTAGAGGGGGCTGGCCAAGGCTAATGTTATTAAGGAAAAGTCTACTTCACTACGGCTCTGATTCACAGCAAGAAATAAATCTATTGGCCAGATAAGGTGCCTTGCAGGCCTGCTCCTCCCTAGTATCCAGAGGGCATTGTTGATAGCAGAGCCTACACCCTCACATGGTCTTTAAGCAGCACTAATAGTCAGCCTATGTTATTTCTTAACCCTCTCTGTCTTGTTGCTATTGTTTGGTTGGCAGGTAACCGGGTAGCCTCAGGAGCGGCAAACGCTAAGTGAGGGTAGGTTTGGGCGTGCTAAAGTTCAACCACGTACACTGTGTATGGTACATGTTCAAGGAATTTAGATTACAAGAGGTTTGCTTATTGAATCGTACATGCTTAGTCCTGTGAATTAGTTGTACTAAACCTTAGGGCTGAAATTCATGATATTATGGAGGGATTAAGAAGTCTGAGACGTCTATTTCTCTATATGACTGTCTTTTGACATATCAGAAATCATTCCTGCCTCTGACAAGAAATGACAGAGGATTTTAGAAGGCAACACTTATGCTTTCATATCTTACTGCACCTTGTTGGTCTCTTCACTTTCTCTTCACTGTGTTGCTATTGTTACTCCTGTGTTTCTCAGTAACCCATCACGTCGATAAACGTAGCTGTACCATAACACTGACCCAACCTCATCTGTTTGAAAGGCCTACGCATGTAGCTCGATTAGCATGCCTGTTTAATTGACTCAGAGCCCAGCCCACCTGTTAGCCTGAGGCATTAGTCATGTGACCACCAGCATGTTCAAACCAATAGTTGTAACTCTAATGCATGTTATCTGAAGCCAGATTTGGCACAGAGATCAGTGTGGATTTGAAAACAAGCCTAGGTTCCTGTGCTGTGGTGTTTAGATACTTTTTTAGCGCTGTAAAGCCTGGATAGGAGGAGCTAGTGTACAAATGCTTTCTCAGATGGAGGGAGTTTCTCACTGTTCTCCCTGGCCTTCTTTCTTCCTGTCAGGAAGGGCATTGATGATGAATGACATCCTGTACTGTTGTTCTCTCTCTCTCCCTCCCTCCGGCCCTGCTCTCACTCCCTTGCACAGTGCACACACAAACCAAACAAACACCTATTACATTTCCCTCAATCATTCTCTTTAGACATGGTGTTGTGGTGTAGCAGTGCGTCTGTATAGCACTGTCAAGGAAGTCAGTAGAGATCATGTAAGTTCAGCAACATTTCTCTATTTCTATACTGTGTGTGTGTGTGTACTTACACAGGCTTGAGTGCTTGCACAGGAGTAGTGAGTGTGTGGTTTTAGGACAGTGTGCCCTCTGTAGAAGCCTCATTAAAAGAGCCACGGTCCAGTAGACTGCAAACACACAGTGGCTCACCAGTCTCTGTCCCTGAGAGCTCATCCCATTACCTCTCATTATCCTTCTCACCAACTGCTGGCCATAGCCACACAATACAGGGCTATCAGGACCAGCACCACTCTCTCAACTGGCCAACTTTCTGTTACTGTAGGCTGGGCGGAGCTTCACTCCACAGGCGTGGTGATGGATTGAACCGAGAGCCAATAAGATGCCTTGATAGTTTGATTCAGGCTGGTGGAGATTAATCCAGTTCTGTCATATTGGAATGTGTTCTCTCTGACCTCCGAGGGATACTCCAATGGCACATACAGTGCATTCGGAAAGTGTTCAGACCCCTTGACTTTTTCCACATTTTGTTACGTTACAGCCTTATTCTAACATTTATTAAATTGTTTTTTTCCCCTCATCAATCTACACACACTACCCCATAATGACAAAGCAAAAACAGGTTTTTATACATTTTTGCAAATGTATTACAAATAAAAACGGAAATATCACATTTACATAAGTATTCAGACCCTTTACTCAGTACTTTGTTGAAGCACCTTTGGCAGCGATTACAGCCTCAACTCTTCTTGGGTATGACGCTACAAGTTTGGCACACCTGTTTGGCCGGGCGGCCAGCTCTAGGAAGAGTCTTGGTGGTTCCAAACTTCTTCCATTTAAGAATGATGGAGGCCACTGTGTTCTTAGGGACCTTCAATGCTGCAGACATTTTTTTGGTACCCTTCCCTAGATCTGTGCCTCGACACAATCCTGTCTCGGAGCTCTAAGGACAATTCCTTTGACCTCATGGCTTGGTTTTTGCTCTGACATGCACTGTCAACTGTGGGACCTTATATAGACAGGTGTGTGCCTTTCCAAATCATGTCCAATCAATTGAATTTACCACAGGTGGACTCCAATCAAATTGTAGAAATATCTCAAGGATGATCAATGGAAACAGGATGCACCTGAGCTCAATTTCGAGTCTCATAGCAAAGGGTCTGAATACTTATGTAAATAAGGTATTTCTGTTTTTTTATTTGTAATACATTTGCAATAATTTCAAAACCTATTTTCGCTTTGTCATTATGGAGTATTTTGTGTAGATTGACAAGGGGGAAAAATCATTTTATCCATTTCAGAATAAGGCTTTAACGTAACAAAGTGGAAAAGGGAAGGGGTCTGATTACTTTCCAAATGCACTGTATACACTCTACTCCTTTTTCACTGACTTGTCATTTTCTCCATCTCTCTCTCAGGAGCAGTTGAAGCAGAGTGTGGATGGTGAGGAGGAGGGGAGGGACATGGACACACTGGTCCATGAGACGGACAGCCAGTACGGGACCTGGGAGACAGGACTGCACACTGACGATAGGTGAATATACACACCCACAACCCATCACAGGTGTGGCTGCTGTGGGCTGGACCAACACCTGTTAAACAGGATGTGCTCATGTTTTTGACTGACTTGTTACTAAATTGGTTACTAAATATGCTGATCCTCATTCCTCAATATGATTACTAATTTCCCCTGAGGCTGTACCCTGATATCAAGACATCTCGACATCCCTAGTACTGAATGCCACCCAGTCCCAAATCCTGCTGATTTACTTCTCCCTCTAAATATACAATTCTCAACCGTTTGATCTCCAATTTAACACCCCCTGGATCGATAAGTAGTATCGAATGGATGCAGCTAAAGGGAGAGATGTACTCTATCATGTCTTCTCCTGGAGCAGCATTGACCTTAGGACAAAGTCACAGAGCCGCGTTAGATCCAGCCTTCTAGATAGGGCAGGGTAGAGAGTTAACCCGAGGCACTAATTCTCTGTTGTCCTACCAATATGGCTAATAATAATCATCTCAACCTTACAACATACATTTACATTTTAGTCATTTAGCAGACGCTCTTATCCAGAGCGACTTACAGTTAGTGAGTACATACTTTTTCATACTGGCCCCCCGTGGGAATCAAACCCACAACCCTGGCGTTGCAAATGCCATGCTCTACCAACTGAGTTACACGGGACCTACAACACCCACAAGCATCTCCTCCAAGTCAGAGACACAGTTACTGAGATTGAAATAAATCAACAGAGACTATGGTATCTATAGGTACTTACTGTACAGATACAGTAGAATCTCAGCACTCCTGACACATTGTGGTCAAGGAGCAGCAGCTCACTGAAATCTGGTTTACTCCAGCACTCAAAATGGCCTCTCTCAGCAGGACGATCTATCACTGACCTCCTGTGGCCAGGAGATGGTATCACAGCAACAAACTCAACACAGGTGGAAAATCTGGATAATGTTTAGTAGAAATGACTGTATGCTGTAGTAGAGTTTCAGATAAAGATACAATATAACGAACTGTTAATAGACAGTGGGTCATTTTAATATAATTCAAATGAATCACCAGCTAGTATGGTTGTGTACAGTATGTGACTCCCCACTGTTTGCGTCCCTCATTGTGAATAAAGAAAGTGAAGCATGAGTCTGCCCGGTCATCCATTGTCGTCATGCACATACATCCTCTATGAAATCTGATGCTCCTACAGTAAACCCAAACAGGAGAATATTACTCGTTCACAGAGCTAGTAGACACAGTACCTGTCACATTGTTCTCTCATTGCCAATGCATGCATATAACAGACTGTAGTGTAGTTTTAGGAAGATAGCCTAAAGTACTAGTCCTGTGTTTGTTCCTGTCTGTCCTTCCTGTAGCCTGACTCCTGCCACGCCCACCTCAGACAGCCACCTCAGTCAGTCCCCTAGGAAACCCACTCCACTCTACACGCCAGAGGAAGATGCCCACACCCCGCCCAGCGACCTTGACACTCCAGACGGCTTCTCCCCCTCGGCCCAGCCCAACATACAACCACTCCCTTTCCCTGAGGTAAGACTGACTTCACCTTTTTAAAAGGACATATCAGTGTAGCAGTCAGAATTGCTTTGTTTCCACAGATTTGCTTTGTTTGTGTTTATGTGTTTCTCCCTCTCTCCAGGCCTCCACCATCCTACTGGACTCCAGTGCTCTGCGATCCAGGGTGCAGTTGAGTAAGATGCGGGGGCCACGTTCGCGCCCCTCCAGGGTGGCTCGTCAGACTGCTGCTCTGTCTGTAAACCCAGAGGGACAGGCCACACCTACTGAGGACTGGCGCTCTCGAGACTCCACAGGTCAGCCTTGGACTCTGCTCTCATGTAGACCCGCTTGGCCATGTCTCTATCCAGTACCTTGTTCTGGATTGAGTGGACATGATTTGACCAGTTAGACTGGAGATGTGACTTAGATGGTCAAATATCTGTTAGACTTCTGAATAACCTCTTATTTGTTTTGCTTGTGAAATGATGTACTCAGAGGTGTGTGTTGTCCTCTATAGAGGACAAAGTGGGGTCTTCCAAGAAGGAGGACTCAGACTCTGAGGAGCAAGCGAGAGGCGCTGACCCCCGCTCTGCTGCTGCCTCCTCCCAGCCCCAGAGAGTCGCCCTCTTCCCTGGGATGGACCCCTCCGCTCTCATGGTGAGCCTCCCCAAGAGTTGACAAGGAGTGTAATGTCACTCATACTGTTCTGAAAAAGTAGTTTTTGATATGTTTTCTTGGTGGTTTCCCCCTCTGTTTGGCAGGCCCAGCTCAAGAAGAGAAGCGACTCTGACAATCAGACAGACGGACCCGCCATTTCTCTCTCCCAGCTGTCCCGTTCTCCTAAATCCCCCTTCCTGCCCCGGGCGTCCCGTGTGCTGCCCCCTTCCGGAGGGAAAGAAAATGGGTAAAATAGTGACCCTGTCTCTTCCCTCTGTTCAGCCTGGATCTAATAACCCAAACCAGGGATTGTTGATAGTTGGAACAGAAAGATTTACATTTTAGTCATTTAGCAGACCGAAATCATTACCAGTTGTAATGATTGTGCCTCCCTTTGTCTGTCTGTCTCTTCTTAGTGAGGAGGCCTCACCACAGTGGCTGAGAGAGCTGAAGTCGAAGAAGCGCTTCAGTCAGTATGAAAATGACAGCTAAGTGTGAATGAGCAGGTGAGCTCTCTTCTCACAAATGTTCCTCATGGTGAATCATTCTTTATCATAGGGTGATTGTGCTGTATGCAATAAACATGACATTTTACCACATTTTCATAATTAGACAATATTCTAGTGTCTGTTTTGCAAATACGTAACCCTAAAATGCTGATGGTTTGTATCCGTTTGCATCCTCCCTCTGTAGGTTGCCTTAACTGGAGAATCTGGTGGCGAATCGGAGACAGTAGCCTTAACCTTTGACCCTGAGAAGATGGGAATTCTGCTGCTGACATTGTAATTTGTCATCTGTTTGTTTGTTTTCTCTGTTCTCTTCCTGCCTGGCTCAAATACATGTGCATGGTGCCTTCTTTCAGACAACCTTGGTCTTATGGATTAAACGAGCAAGGGAAACCACTACTCAGAGCGTCCATGTCACTACTAGCTCCTCCACCTCCTGTGTCAGGGAGGTCTTTGCATAAAGCCACTTTACCCTCTCACATGACAGGGAAGACTACGGAAGGGGGGATCCCATTCTCACCTGTCAGGTTGTATTTCAGTAATGGTTAACTTGTGGGACCACATGCCTCTTAACCTGGAAGTGCTTCAATAAGCTGGAGGACATATAGCACCTCCACAAGACATATTTTTATTTAGTTTTCTCTTTTAAATATAATTTTCAGGTTAGTCTATGTGTTAACTGTATCTGTTAGTGAATGGGTGTTGGTAAAACCTTTGCCATAGGATAACATTTCTGATTTGATTTTTTGTCATTGATCATAGAGAACAAAACACTGCTGAACTAATGGTCAGCCAGGCTGTATTATGTGTTAGTAATAAAGATGGTATCTGTAATCATGAAATGTTATATTTGTATTGTTGCTAATTTGAAAGATGAATCATAACATGTCAAAGAGTGCTAGGTTTGTATGGAGAGCATTTAAAGCATCTCTACAGCAGAGGCCCCCAAGCCCGTTCCTCTGGTCCACTCAGTGAACTAACTGAGAATCTGTTGTGTTGACTTCATGCAGTCCCTTTTAAATTATGGGTAAAGAGGAATGCTTTGGGTTCGGTGTCTTTTATCATATGTCTGAATATCTGTTTCTACTGGTGGAAAAGGGGAGGGTTAATCACAATGGACATCTATCTCCATCTCAATTACACTCCTAAACGCATGAAAACACTAATCAGCCTGTTCTTCCTCCCTTTACCTCAACTTATCTCTTCAGCGTAAGATCAAATGATTGAGTGTGTAATACTGATGGATGAGTGAGTAAGGATTGCAAGGGAAATGTTCTAACTGTATATGTTACCAATGAGCCATACATTAAATGTGCACTCCCTGGGTTCTGTTTTACCAGCATGTCTGCAACACATCTCCCATTTAGCCACCTCCTGTGCAATTTCCCAGCATTTTTTGGAAAAAGATGTGCATGCACACTCTGCTCCTTTTCACCATGCTTTGCTCAGACACTAACTGAATGGCCACACCAAGTAGCAGTGGTACAATCATACAATCTGGATATCATGGCTTCATCCACAGAACTGTTCTGGTCCCATTGTGCACATGGTCGATGCAGCGGTGGGGATGTATAGTGGAATGGTAGGAGTATGGCTTTCACTACTCCAGTGGGGAATGCCAGTAAAGTATATTGTTTTGAGATGAGGGTGGTTATTCTACCCTTTTTTGCTGCACATGACTTGGACTATTTGCACCAGTTGTTTAGGGCTTGTTTGAGCTGACTTAGGCCATTCCTCTGACCATGTTAGCCATGCTCCACTGTCCCACTACTTCCACTTTATTGCTTGATGCACTACAGCACTGACCGCATTCCACAGTTTCATAGACAGACATTGGAATGCTAATGCCATGCAAGTGAATGTGTTGATTGAATCTTTGGAGTTGTCGTCCCTATGGTATCTGTCCATGGCATTTGACTTTGTCATGACTTATTTTATTTTTTTCTCTGTTTCTCTTGTTTTATTTTAAAGTAAAAGATGTATATTGCACTGTTGTAAGGCCGTTGTTCAAAAGTGTAAATTCTCAATAAAATTTACTGCGTTAATAAGCTTCTGACTGATGTAATTATTGGGCTAAATGTTACTTATGCATTACACCCATTTCAGGTCAGACCCACCCCCTCCAGTCGGCTGTTAAGTGTTAAGAATTTAAATTGGTGTGTCTATTGTTGGTGAGGGGTATAAGAGTGTTTGGTGTACCGGGTAACAGAGCGGTCGATAGTGTTTGGTCTAGGGAGGTATGTACAGTGCCTTGCAAAAGTATTCATCCCCCTTGGCGTTTTCCCTATTTTGTTGCATTACAACCTGTAATTTAAATGGATTTTTATTTGGATTTCAAGTAATGTACATACACAAAATAGTCCAAATTGGTGAAGTGAAATGAAAAAAAATTACAAATAACGGAAAAGTGGTGCGTGCATATGTATTCACCCCCTTTGCTATGAAGCCCCTAAATAAGATCTGCCGCAACCAATTACCTTCAGAAGTCACATAATTAGTTAGATTGCACACAGGTAGACTTTATTTAAGTGTCACATGATCTCAGTGTATATATACACCTGTTCTGAAAGGCCCCAGAGTCTGCAACACCACTAAGCAAGGGGCACCACCAAGCAAGCAGCACCATAAAGACCAAGGAGCTCTCCAAACAGGTCAGGGACAAAGTTGTGGAGATGTACAGATCAGGGTTGGGTTATAAAAAAAGATCAGGAACTTTGAACATCCCACGGACCACCATTAAATCCATTATAAAAAAATGGCGGCAGGTAGCTTAGTGGTTAAGAGCGTTGTGCCAGTAACCGAAAGGTCGCTGGTTCTAATCCCCGAGCCAATTAGGTGAAAAATCTGCAGATGTGCCCTTGAGCAAGGCACTTAACCCTAATTGCTCCTGTAAGTCACTCTGGATAAGAGCATCTGCTAAATAACAAAAAAAGAATAATAAATAAATAAATATGCCACAACAACAAACCTGCCAAGAGAGGGCCGCCCACCAAAACTCACGGACCAGGCAAGGAGGGCATTAATCAGAGAGGCAACAAAGAGACCAAAGATAACCCTGAAGAAGCTGCAAAGCTCCACAGCGGAGATTGGAGTATCTGTCCATAGGACCACTTTAAGCCGTACACTCCACAGAGCTGGGCTTTACAGAAGAGTGGCCAGAAAAAAGCCATTGCTTCAAGAAAAAAATAAGCAAACACGTTTGGTATTCGCCAAAAGGCATGTGGGAGACTCCCCAAACATATGGAAGAAGGTACTCTGGTCAGATTAGACTAAAATTGAGCTTTTTGGCCATCAAGGAAAACGCTATGTCTGGCGCAAACCAAGCACCTCTCATCACCCCGAGAACACCATCCCCACAGTGAAGCATGGTGGTGGCAGCATCATGCTGTGGGGATGTTTTTCATCGGCAGGGATTGGGAAACTGGTCAGAATTGAAGGAATGATGGATGGCGCTAAATACAGGGAAATTCTTGAGGGAGACCTGTTTCAGTCTTCCAGAGATTTGAGACTGGGATGGAGGTTCACCTTCCAGCAGGACAATGACCCTAAGCATACTGCTAAAGCAACACTCGAGTGGTTTAAGGGAAAACATTTTAAATGTCTTGGAATGGCCTAGTCAAAGCCCAGACCTCAATCCAATTGAGAAACTGTGGTATGATTTAAAGATTGCTGTACACCAGCGGAACCCATCCAACTTGAAGGAGCTGGAGCAGTTTTGCCTTGAAGAATGGATAAAAATCCCAGTGGTTAGATGTGCCAAGCTTATAGAGACATACCCCAAGAGACTTCCAGCTGTAATTGCTGCAAAAGGTGGCTCTACAAAGTATTGGCTTGTATGTATAGCGCATAGAATTAAAAAGGTATTGTCGGACATTATTCATTCTAATCAGACAGGTTTTTTTTTACATGGAAGATACATTGGAGATAATATAAGGCAAGTACTGGAAACAATAGAACACTATGGAAAATCTGGGAAACCAAGCCTGCTATTCATAGCAGACTTCGAAAAGGCATTTGATAAAGGACGACTGGGGTTTATGTATAAAATAGTAAATAATGGCTATTTCTCCGAAAGTTTTAAACTGTCAAGGAGTGAAACAAGGTTGTCCAATATCGGCATATCTATTTATTATGGCCATCGAGATGTTAGCTATTAAAATCAGATCCAACAATAATATCAAGGGATTAGAAATCCAGAGCATAAAAACAAAGGTGTCAGTGTACGCTGATGATTCATGTTTTCTTTTAAATCCACAACTTGAATCCCTCCACAGCCTCATAGAGGATCTAGATACATTTTCTAACCTCTCTGGATTACAACCAAATTATGACAAATGTACTATATTACGTATTGGATCACTAAAAAATACAATTTTTACATTACCATGTAGTTTACCAATACAATGGTCTGATGGTGATGTGGATATACTCGGAATACATATCCCAAAGGAAATAAATGATCTCACTCCAATACATTTTAATAGAAACTTAGCAAAAATAGATAAGATCTTGCTACCATGGAAAGGTAAATACCTGTCAATTTGTGGAAAAATCACCCTGATTAACTCTTTAGTATTATCCCAGTTTACCTATTTGCTTATGGTCTTGCCTACGCCTAGCGAACAGTTTTTTAAATTATATGAGAAAAAAAGATTCCATTTTATTTGGAACGGCAAGCCAAACAAAATTAAACGGGCCTATTTATATAATGAATATGAATTCAGAGGACAGAAATGATTAAATATTAAAGCATTAGACCTATCACTAAAAGCTTCAGTCATACAAAAGTTATACTTAAACCCGAACTGGTTCTCTAGCAAATTAGTAAGATTGTCTCACCCAATGTTCAAGAATGGCCTTTTTCCCTTTATTCAGATTACAACCTCTCACTTTCAGTTATTTGAAAAGGAAATAATCTCCCAAATATCACTATTTCTAAAACAAGCCATAGAAAGTTGGTTGCAATTTCAATTTAATCCTCCAGAA